GATTTTTTATCCTTTTTTTCTGCTTGCTCTTCTATCTTAGTAGTATCGAGAGATTTGTCTTCTAGCTCACTAGTTCTGGCTTCCATCCCTTCAATTCTACTCCTTTGCCCTTTCAGTGTATTGTCTATTTCTGATACTCTATTATTAATCATTTGGACCTCTTTCTGCAAGTTTGGAATTGCTCCCAATGCTGTGTCTATTTTATTTGATTGTTCCTGTAGTGTTTTCCTGACTTTTCCTTATTTTTCTCAACTCTACTGTGAAGTGTTTTGATACATTTTATAATCATTTTTCTGATTTCCCTCTCAGGCATTTCCATGGCCTGCCTTACTTCCAGTATGGTGTGTAGGTCAACCTCCAGGTCATTTGTCTCAGTCACTTTATCAAGTTTCTGGACATGTGTGATATGGTCATCTGTTTTTGCTTCTTGGGCATGTTTAGTGGTTAACTGTGGTCTTAATACTAAATTGAGTGTGTGTTTTGGTTATTTTTTAATGCTTTCTGATTGCCTCCTGGTAGATGTGATCAGGAGAAGGGCTTCCCTTTTCAGTCTTCTTATTATTTAACTCAGAGTAATTAGCACAGGTGTTGTCTGTCTTCCTGGTGTGTGGCAGTTGGTATTGATTCTTGTCTGGATTGTGGGGTTTTAGAGGCTGTGATTGTGGCTTGACTATATGGCAGCAATTGCTGTCTCTCCTTGGGTAATATAGGGAGAGAAAGAGCCCCCTAAATGTAAAAGGAGGAACCAAAAAAAAAAAATCCAAAACAGCAACAGCAAAAAAAAAGATTGGATACTGTAGTCTATATAACAAAAATGAGAGAAGAGAGAGAAAGGGGAAAAAAAAAAATCTGTAACCTAATATGAGAGTATAACTTTAATATCCTCTTTTAGTTTCTTGCCTTCAAGGCTGCCATAGAAATTTGAAGATGCCACTGTTGGCTGTTATGATGTAACTCAGGATTTAATTTTCGGTTTGTTTCATTTTTTAGTCTATCTCTCCCACTCCACAACCCCGTTCTGGCCTGTTTCCTAGTGATAAACAGTTCAGGGCTAGCTGTGGCCATTTTGCGCTGCCGGCTGGTTTTAGGAGGACTCTGCATTTTTACATCTGAGAAGGTCTGTGCATATGCATACTAGAACCCTCCATTTGTGGGGATGTGGGATGGTGTCACTCACGCAGGCACCCCTCTAATCACCAGAATGGAGGTGCATAGACAAGAGGCCTGTGAACAGATACCAAAAATATAGAACGCATATCCAACAAAAGACTCAGATTCTAGTAAATCAGTAAGAAAAGTCAGCAATCCAATAAAAATGGGCAAAAGGCTTGAATATATCATAAAGATACTGAAAATAACCAATAAATATGAAAAAGTCTGATAAAAATTTTAGACATCAGGGATATGAAATTCAATTTTATTCCACATGCGATATCACTATATTCACCCTTGTTGCTGTTGTTGTTATTATGTGCTGGTGAGTCAGTTCAGACTCATAGCAACCATGCATAGGGTTTCCAAGGAGTGGCTGGTGAGTCTGAACTACCGACCTTGCAGTTCAAACTGACCTTGCAGTCGAGTGCTTATCCTATGACACCATACCAGGACTATTCACCCTGGAACTACTAAAATTGAAAGAAAAAGGAGATCATTTAAACATTGGCAAGTATGTTAAACAAATGGAACTCTCATAAACTTCTGTTGCTCTTAGTGCCACAGTGTCAGTTAAGATGCATAGCAACCCTGTATAGGGTTTCTCAGGAATGGCTGGTGGGTTTGAACTGCTGACCTTTTGGTTAGCAGTCAGGTGTTTATCCTCCAGCACCAGACCATGACTCATAAACTATTAGTGGAAATAAAATAGGTACAACCACTTTTGAAAAGTTTCTGGTAGTATTTATGAAAGCTGTATAAACACATACTCTATGACTCAAAATTTCCACTCCCAGATAAATATTTACAGTTTTTTTTGCACTAAATACAAGATTGATCATAACTGTCCTACTTAAAATAGCCCTAAACTGAAAATCGCCTAAGTGTCAGCAACAGTAAACTGCATAAATTGAGATGTATATTGCACAGCAGTAAAAATCATACCAAAAAACCAGAGAAATACTTATAGAATGTTGAGACAAAAGAGTAAATTCCATGATTTCACTTATAAGTTGTTCTAAAATCTACAACACTAATGTATGGTGGCATAAGTCAGAACAGTGGTTAGGCTTCTGTGGGACTAAAGACTGAGAGGGGCCTGAGTAACATTCTATACATTGATCTAGGTATTGTTTGCATTTTGTTGTTGTTAAGTGTTATTGAGTGGGTCCTAACTCAGAGTGATCCTGTGTAGGGTTTCTGAGGAGCGAATGGTGAGCTTGAACCACTGACTTTGCAGTTCAAACTGACTTTGCCTTGCAGTCCAGCGCCATTAACCCATAAATGAATTGGCTTAACCCTTAACATTGACACATTTTGTGCTCTGTATGTTGTATTTCAATAAAAACAAGGTAGACAAAAAAAGAGGTAGAGCAAATTCTAATTTAAAAAATCAGGGCTTGTGGTATTGATAGTAAATGAGGTAGAATTCTGGTGAAGAAAACAGAATGAGACAACAGTGATTAATGCTAAAAAATATAATAAACTTCAAAATGTGAATATACTCTGGCACTGTGGATATAACTTCAAAATGTGAATATACTCTGGCACTGTGGAATAAAGCACTGGACTACAGGGTCAGTTTGCACCACAAGGTGGTTGTACAAACTCACCAGCCACTCCTTGAAAACCCTATATGGGGTTGCTAAGAGTGGAAATCAACTCAATGGCACATAACAACAACAATGCATAAAATAACAGCACAAATATTCTTAAAAATAAAAGCACAGGATATATATATATATACATATACATATACATGATAGAAACACTTTACTATAAAAAATTATATTTCATTTCTTGTCATCTTTAACAGATCAAATATGATAATTAATAAAGAAATATTTATTGTAATATAACATTACAAATTTTCCTTAATTATGGGGCTAAAAAAATATAAGCAAATTGCCTACTATATCACAATAATGTTAATGAAATCACAACTTATTAGAAACTATGTGACATATCTAAAGCTGAGTTCAAAGTAAAATTTTACCTTTAACATTTATATTAAGAAAATAATAAATATAAATCAATCAGGCATCTATCACAAAGTTAAAAAGGGAGAAACAGAATAAATTTTTTAAAGCAGAGGAAGAAATAAAGATAAAAGTAGTAATTAATAAGTTAAAAAACAAAAAAAGTAAAACCTTTAAATAGACGTAAAGCTGGTTGTTTGGGTTACACAAGCAACATAATATATCAACTGCTAGCTAGCCTAATTGTTGAAAATTGAAACTGATACGTTTGCATATGCTTGGAAATTTTCCATAATGAGAATGTTTTTTAAATAGGAAGTATAAATACACAAAATAAGAAATTACAAAGGGGTAGTAAGTGATTTGACAGGGAAATTCTACCCAAACTCTAAAAAGCAGTTAATTTCAATAGCATTTAAACTATTATGACTTTTAAGAAAGAAGAAAAGTCTTAAGACAGGACTGATGTCTGATTACAAAAAAACTTCTCTAAAGCAAGAGACAAATATAAAAGTTGAATTGAGAAAGATAGTTGGAGATTAAGTTACAAAAGGACAATTTCCTTAAATTATAAAGAGATCTTATGAATCGTTAATGAAAAGGATCACAACCAATAAAAAACAAACAAACAAACAAACAAAAAGACGGACAGTGTATTTGAATAGATGTTTTAACAGAAACAATAAAAATTTAAAAAGCTCTTAACCACATGAAAGGGTTTTCAATATTACTTATGTAGAAGTTAAATTGTAACCACATAGAAATACTCTTTTTGCATATTGTTGTAGTTGCTACGTGCTGCAGAATCTGTTCCAAACATAGCGACCCTGTATAGGGTTTCCAAGGATCGACTGGTGGGCTTGAACTGCCAACCTTGAGGTTTGCAGTCCAGTGCTTATCTTACAGCACCACACCATGACCTATTGTTGTTGTTGAGTACCTAATTAGATGAGCAAACATTTATATCAATCGCAACATTAAGTAAACTAACATATATTTTTGCTACAATAAAAAGTAAAGTAAGATGATCGCAATGAAAAAAATCACAAAGTTACTATATGTTCATTACAGAGAAATCAGAATAGCCAGGTAAATAAAAGAATTAAAAATCAGTAAGCCACCTGTAATCCTACTAATAACCAAGAGATTTCTACTGCTAATGTTTTTTAAAAATACAGTTTAAAAACTTCATCAGAGAAATCTTTACACCCACACATCTTATATGTTTTAACGGAGTCACATTTTATTCTGATATCTTACTTCCAACCATATTGTAGTATCATTTTTCTTTCTTTTCCAGTGAATACATTTGTTCACTATTTTTAATGCTGGCTATTTTTATTTCGACATATAAAGGCTGTGGGATGGCTTTTAGATTTATTCTACTTTTCCCTAATTAGAAATGATGACATAAGAATATATATGGATAGATGTTTGCAGATTTTTCAGTGATTTCCTTTCAATTAGTTGCTAGATGATGTGCACATTATTGAAAGTTTTAATACATGTTTCCAATACATGAATACATGTTATTCATTAATTCAGTTCTAGGCATAAGAGGAGACATTCTGTAAATACATCAGTTTTCATTCTGATATTTAACTTAGCATTGCTTATGTAACTGAGAAATAACTTCTTTTAAAACATCTTAAACGTATTACATTCATACCTCTAGTCTTAATTTTATTTTTTTGGCCTAAAACATATTTCAATTTGATTTTGGAAACAAATTTGGTTATGGTTAAATTTCAGACTGGACCATATACAATTACTACTATTATGAATTTCACCAGATAAGAATCATAAAAACAAATCAAGAGGTTTCTTCAGTGACTTATCAAAAACCTGAAAAATACCAAATGTGTTTACCTGCAGTAGGAGACTTGCATCGCTCAAGTTCCAGGGGTACTGGAGTGTCATTCAGCTCAGTTAAACCTGAAAAGAAGATATCAAAAAATGGAAATCATCTTTGCTAGTAGTGCTTCCTAGTTAATTCTTAATTCCTACAATCTTAAAATGTTTTCTCTCCTGTGAAAACTATTTTCCTGTGCCCTTGTTTGGACAATTATTCTGAAAATTTGTTTTAAAAAGTGATTCAAGAAAAGTAAGAAGCAACAACTGATTGCCATACTAAAAGTAATTGAACATAGCTGGTAGACAGTGAGAAAAATTATTATTTTCATATGAAACAGCTACTTTAAGAATAGTCAATATTAAATATCTAGTTGTATATGACAATAAGGAGCTCTGGTAGCGTAGTGGTTACGAATCGGGCTGCGAACCTTAAGGTCAGCGGTTCGAAACTACCAGCTGCTCCGCGGGAGAAAGATGAGGCTTTCTACTCCCGTAAAGATTTACACCCTCGGAAACCCTGTACAGGGTCGCTATGGGTCGGACCCGACTCGATGGCACTTAACAACAACAACAACATATGACAATAGACCAAGAAAAACAAAAAGTAGAAAGGGTTTTACAAAGGACCTTGTTGGGTGCCATCGAGTGGATTCTGGCTCATACTGACCTCATGTGACAGAGTAGAACCATCCTAAAGGGTTACTGAGGCTACAGTCTTTGACAGTACATGGTCAGCTCTTTCTCACTGGGTAGGTTTGATCTGACAACTGTTCTGTTAGCTGCTGAGGGTTAACTGAGTGGTAACTGTTGTGCCACTAGGGCTCCTAAAAAGGGCCTAAATAAAATCAAATACTCTATCTTCAGAAGTGGTTATTGACTTTTAAAAGATTTCTAATGATAGAGATGACACAAATTTTAAATTTGTATTTATTTATAAGCAGCACTGTATAAAACATAATAAGTGATTTGTTCACTGGCTTTAAAATTCCTTCCTATAACAAGCTGTATAATTTTATCTTATCTTTAATATTGCTTATTTTCTATCCTGTCACTTTCTTGAAAAGTACAAAGAAAGGCAAAACAGATTAATAAACAATTGTAATCCTTATTATTGCTAACTTATATTCTTATATCATTTGTAAAATCACTTCTTTACACTTCTCCTATCCATGTTGAGGAGTCCGGGTGTGGCACTATAGGATAAACTGGACTTTTCAACCTTCCCAACTGCTCCTTGTAAACCATATATAGGATCTCTACAAGTAAGAACCGACTCAATGGCACTTAACAACAACAACAACAATTTTGTTGAAGAGTCTCATTAATCTTTTATTTGTAAATAAATACTCTGAGTTTCTATCAGATAACATAGGCCAACCCTTCAATTTTTTAGATGAGAAATTTTACATTCAGCCTTGTAACTACTTATTCAAGGTCACAGAATAAAGTCAATAACAGAGTTCAAATAGAATCTAGAAGTCAGTACAGATTTTCTCATACAATATTATTCTGTACTAATATTTATTTTAACACCTCAAATAATTTTGAGCATCAACTACAAAGATTAATGTTTGCTCTAATTCTTCACTGATTTTTTCAAGACATTAACTTCATGCTCTTCTATTTTTAAAATTTCTATATATTTTATGGAAGTATTGCTATTTATTTGGAAGTAGACATTCATTAACCTAAACTAACTTGAACACAATCTTAATTAAGAAGTATATGAAGTTTGAAATGCATAGGATAAAGGTTATGATGAAATAAGCAATGTAAGTTACTCTTCAGAGGTGCTATGGAACTACACCAGGCTCTCCTTGAAAGTCTTCTGGCTTCAACAGATTTTGTTATCTGATAGCAAATTAGAAACAGAAGATTATAAAAAGGGGAGGAGACTACTAGCAGTAGAAACATTAAGAAAAGTGTCTTGGAACAACAGACATAGAACCATAGCTATAAAAAGCAGAGAGAGGACCTATAAATATTAGTGAGAGATCTTGGACTGGTTACCAAAGAAGGGAATATATTAAAGATATCAGAAAGACTCAACTTATTACTATATATTAAGCCAGTCAATCAAAATTATTGACTAATATGCTATATATTCTTAATAATAATAATAATGATTGTTGTTGTTAAGTGTCTTCAAGTCGGTTTTGACTCATAGGTACCCTGTATAGGGTTTCCAAAGAGCATCTGGTGGGCTTGAACCACTGACCACTGAACCACTCCAGTACTTTTCCTGCAGCACCACACCAACACTCCAAAAATAATGATGTTGTTATTAAGTGCCGTTGAGTCGGTACCAACCCATAGCAACCTTGTATAGGGTTTCCAAGGAGCAGCTGGTGAGCTTGAACCACTGATCTTGCAGTTCAAAGGACTTTGCAGTCTGACTCATTAACCCACAGTGCCACACCAGGACTCCAATAATAATAATAGCAGCTAATATCCATTGCATACCTATTGTTTTTTGCTTTGCATTCTAAATACTTTATATAAATTATCTTTCTGACCTTCTATTTAAGACCTAACAATAATAAAAAATGGATATTTCTACTTCTAAATTGTGTAGTTGAAAAAAAGAAGTAGAGAAGAAATTACATAAACTGTCTAAGGTTACACAGTTAGGAAGTAAGCTATTTGCTTACTATATTTGATTCTCAAAAAAAGCATGAAGCATATGCTGGAAATGATTTAAGAATTTTTAAATAAAAAGGTAGTTGAAGGGTTAAGCTTCAGTTATCCAAAAATTACATTTTCTATCCCCATACTATCTATTCAATCTGTTGTTTTCCCTAGTTTATACTGAACTCGCCAGCTTTGTTTGTTCAGTGTAGCTCTAATAAAATTATTCCTATATGTCCATTTGTAATGTGTTCAAACCTTAAAATATGTTTTTATAGCCATCATCATTCAAACTTATAGAAAACATTCAAAACCATCATTATTTAAAAGCAAACATTTTTCCTGATGATAAAAGTAATATGCATATTTTAACAAAAGTATTTATTATCAAAATGTTATTTCGGTATTAAAACACAAAAAAATTGCTGAATTTTATTGTAAATATTAATTTATAAAATACATATATAAAAGTACACAAATCATAAGTATATAATTTGATGAGTTTTCACAAAGTCAGTACACACATTTAACTAACATCATATCTAGACATATATGAATTTTTAAAACAATGCATCAGACTTAAAATGTCTCACTCATGACAGACAGCTCTTAATTATGAACTCAGTCTTCCTGAAAGTTATGTGATCACTCTCTAAGTCTTCAGGAATACTTAAGTGAAAATTTTAGAAAATATTGTAAAACAATTGTTAGTTGAGTTCTGCTCATACTTGTATATCTGAGAGACATTTCTAATGCTTCTCCAAGGTTTTCAAGACCATAACTCAAACGTTTCCACTCTTTGTTTCAACAAACATTTATTGAATAAATTACTATGTACCAGGCTCTGTATTAGGCATGTTTTACAACATGGACCTCAATTCTTTGACACTCCTTCCACTGAGGAGTGGGGTCTATGTCTACTACTTTGTCATATAGAGTACAGAGAAAATGACGCTATGTGACATCTGAATCCAGGACATAAAGATACAACAGCTTTTGCCTTGTTCTTTGAAAAGTCTCTCTTTTAGAACCAAATTGCCATGCTATTAAAATACCAAGACACATGGGAAAGCCATATGTGGATGCTCTACTTGACACACTTGAGCCCACACTTTAAGTTATTCCATTCCTGGAGCCAGATATGTAAGAAGAAGCTTCCAGATGAATGCCAACCCAGCCATTTAAATCTCTCAAAAATGTTTGAGTGATGCTAGCTGAGGTTCCCAACAAGCCATCCTTGCTGTGCCCTAACCCATAGAATTCTTGAGCATAAAATAAAATAATTATTGTTTTACATCAATGAGTTTGGGGTGATTTGTTACACAGCGATAGTGCAGATATAGTGGTAAGCAAAGGTAACAGTTCCTTCTCTAATTGTTAAGTTCTGTGGTGCTGGTTCACACTCATAGTGTCCTTGTATAGGGTTTTCAAGGAACAGCTGGTAGATTGAACTCCTGACCTTGTGGTTTGCAGTCTAGTGCTTATCTTATAGGATCTAGTGGCAGTAACTAAATAAGCAATGAGAACACAGTATATGACTGTTATGAATTGGAAGGTTTGAGTGTTGCCTCTCTGATGCCATCTGAGGAAAATAAAGGTAGTTACTTTTGTAGGCTAGCAAAACAGTCACTTTTTGTCCCCACTGGATTTTTTTCCAGTTAGTGCTTCAAAACACCTTTCTGCCCACTTAGTCCTTCAACCACTCTCCTCTAATATGTAACAGAATGCTATAAATAGCTCTTCAAAGAATTAAAACAAAAGCTAGTTTCGGAAATGCAATATAGTAGAAATATGAGGATTATATTTATTTGAGATTGTAATTAAGAAGAAATATTAACTTACTTTAACAATTCCAATTCTATACTTGGATGACTTAATTTGGTGATAGTGTTATTGGTTGAGCAGGTTTAAGTTTATTAGTCAGTAGTGTAGTGGTTAGGAATCGGGCTGCTAACCTCAAGGTTGGCAGTTCGAAACTACCAGCTGTTTCATGGGAGAAAGATGAGGCATTCTGCTCCTGTAAAGATTTACAGCCTCAGAAACCCTGTACAGGGTCACTATGAGTCGGAATCGACTCCACAGCACATAACCAACCAACCATCTTACTTCAGTAACCAGTTTAGTCTTTCTAAGCGATAAGAGGATCAATTAAGATCCCAAACCAAAAGGAAAGTACAGGCATGGAGAAATATTAAAATGAAGTTGAAAAGGTATTTGGTGAAGATAAAGGAGAAGTTTCCTACTTGAGGAGTATGGATTTGAGTGTAGAGATAATGGAGATTGCAAGCAGTTGACGAATGAAATAACATAATATAACTGGTGCTTTGCAAAAGCAGAACTGTAGAATAGAAAACCACTAGCTGTAGAATCAGAAAATATAAGTCCTTAATTTTACTTAATGACTGGAGAAATAATTCACATTGAGCAAAGTATACAAGAAGGCTACAAAAAGC